CCTTCGTGTCTGCAGCAAAGTATTTCAAATTTTACTAAACCGAAAAAATTTTCAGTTTTCTCATGTTTTATTTAAGCTTACTTTAAGGCGTACAAATTTGTTAAATTTCAAATTAAACTAGTTTGTAAATCAAAAATAAGATTTCATTTAGCTATATGAATTCAAAAACATTATTTTTGAGTCAATGTAATGAAATTTTTAGTATTAAAATCTACTATGCTTTAATAAAAGCTCCTAATTCCTTGTGGATGAGCAGCATGGTTACTTGGGTTCCTTCCTGTGATGGTATAAATATGAAACAATTATCCTTATAAAATGCATTTTAAAACCATATCTGTATTTGGCAGATAGTGGTATGCTTTCTTAGTCCTCCTCAAATCCGAAATAGATATCTCTCTCTCTTTCATTGGCATTGTTAGATAGATAGAATGGTGCAGACTAGAGCTCCATGGGTTGTCTGAATAATGTAGGCTGTCTGACAGCGGATGGAGCATACTTCTGCCCCCTTTCCTCCGATGAAATGTTTTTTAAAGTATTTTTAGCATTTTTATGCTAACAGGTCAACTGAATGCAATAACTTTTTTTTGATTATTGGTTGCGTGTATTCATTGAGTATGGCAAAAATTCGAGGCTCTCTGCCGTAGGGAAGGGATGCCATCGTGAAGAACTTTCTATAGAAAGCTGACTCGTATTTATATTTTACATAGAGAAATACGAAAACACTTTCAAGGTGTTTGCGGAGGCTTGGAAACTGGTTGAACTTACAGTGAGTCTTACCCCCTTGGCCCCTGGATTATGGCTTTCGAGGGCTGTCCACCTAATACGAGGAAAGCCTTCCTTCAGAGAAAATGAAATTAATTAATGTTATACATGGAGAAAACTAGACAGACATATGAGACCAAAACTTTCAGCGCTAGGATATAATTTGAAAGGAACAACTAATATGAGTTATCACTGGGACATAAATGAGCATCGTAACTATTCTATGAAAGATTTAATTTTCACAGCATAGATTTCTTGAGTGTGTGATTCTGACGATTAAGTAATAGTCTTTTCGTAAAGGCGCTTGTATGAAACTGGTACGTATCCATACAACTAAGCCACTGAAATTTCAATCACATATTTTCAACTTCGGATTCATTTTACTTATTTAAGCGCTTAGAATAACTAGGCGAACTCAATTTCAGAAATTTAGTATAATCAGCGCGTAATAATAATTTCTACGGACTATGATAACATTTAAAAAATTAAATAGACATTTCAGTAAAAGTAATTAAAATGATATTTTAAAATAAATTTTAAATATCTAAGAATTGATCCCTGTTCGAAAACACTTCAGCACCTGTGGCATCAGAGGAAGTTAACTTTGTCTGATGAGTAAGTAAGTAAAAATTTCAGTAAAACTTTTTTGCGCCCTGGTGGCTAGTGAAACATTAGAACCCTTAATTTGAAAACCATGGAGGGCGAAGTATTTTTGTTGTTCGGATCTTCAAGTTTGTGTTAGAGATTGTTTTCAGTTTTGCCATCTATAAAACTAAATATCAAAACGATGTTTAGTAAAAGAATTAAATAAACAGAAATAAATGATTGAACAATTGATTCTTTGGAGTCGTTGTATTTTTTTATGCCATTTGTTAAATATATATAGTTTTATATGATGTTAAGCTATTATTAAATTAGATTTCCAAATTTATATATATGTATACGAGTTTGTAATTATTAATCATATTGGTGTGCGCAGGTGTAATTTTTTCAGATGTAGAAATGCACAATTAAAAATATTTTATAGCTTTGATATATATCAACTAGTATATTTTGATACTATTACATATTAATTAATTAATATTCCAGTGATTATTTAACTTTGAAACTAAAATAGGCGATATTCTGTTTATTGCATAAAACTGAATACCAAAAATTAATACCAAGTTGAGAATGAAGAATATGGATGGCCATCTGTCGAAGCTTTTATACTTTTAATGTACCGCTTGGAAATTTGCCACCTGTGAATATCTCGCCAGATGTTATTAGCGGTTCAGCAAGCGTCAAAATTCGCTATTTCCTTCCTTTTTTTATCAATCGTGAAATGCTTATTTTCTACTACTCTTAAATTTTTGTTGTTCATGGAGCAACAAAATTACGAGCATGATCTGTAAAGATGGGGGATACCGAATAATAAGTTTTCTAATGGAGAGGATGGCGCAACTTGCCGTACAAATACATGCTATACATCGTCGTTTCTCAGAATTTCAAGTGGGGGACCACTTTTATAAATTAAAAGTATTTGCTACTATCAGTATATTTATATTTTCAAAGTACAATTAATTAAAATTAATTTTTGTTTCATATATGTATTAAGTAAATGAGTCAATAGAAGAAAATTTATATTCGTTTTTAAACTTCAAGGGCCGCTCAGATGGTATAATGGTTAAGGGAGCCTGACTGCGATACCGAAGGGCCGGGGTTCGAATCCCGGAGAAGGCATGGATGTAAAATTCTCTGTCCCTTCATAGGAGGTAATGGTGGCCGCCTGTTAAGTTCCTCCACAATAAAATGGCCACCACTTCGGGGCTTAGGAGTGGCATTGGCCACTCCTAAGCCCAGAAAGCTCCTAAGCCTCCTAAGCCAGATTCTGGGCTTAGGAGTGGATGAGTTTGCTGATTCTTACATAGCTTTCTATGTCTGGATGTAAGCTGGTTAAGAAGCACCGCAGTCATAGTTCTTTGAAACTATCTTTTCTTGCAAAGACTAGAATCGTAAATCTGTAAAAAGTATTTTCTGTTTTTTAGTGCAGTTAATTTGAAGCATAACATTAGTACAGAATGTTTTTATATAGTAGTTAAAAACATGTTGTATACGCTGTAAACATGATCTCTGATACTAATCAAAGCAATCCTAGTTGTGAGTGAATGAAAAAATATTCAACGTTTAATTTATTTATTCTAATATTATAGAAGAGGTTTAAGAATCAGTAGTAATCGGGCTGTAAAATATTTATCACGCTCAATATTTGATCTTCGATTTTTAAACATTTCTTACTAATTATAACTGTCTTTTCAAATATTCATTTTCTAATTTGGAGTGCGTTGCATTCGAAATAGGTAATTAGTGTATTTTAGCGAAGAGAAAACATGAAATTTAAGAAATTTTTTTTTTTTTTTTTTTTTTTTTTTTTTTTTTTCTGAACTGTATTCTTGTTGTTCTCGCTAAAAATGTTTATAATAACTGGAATTGAGAAATTTTAGCCAATAAAAGGGATGGACAAAGTTCTTTCACCTCTTTGTTTATAGGGCTTATGTGCGGCTGAGCGGTAATTTGCTAAACACTTTTATTTCGACATATCCTCACGAAGTTGCCTGCTGCATGGGTGTTTTCGAATATGTTTTCGCATGTAGCATGAATATGAGCCAGTTTCTGTTACAAAGGCATCCCTCCTCCTAGGTAGATAGCCCTTGTGAGCATGGCAGTAATCAAACTAATTAAACCATCTTTCATTCACATGGAATATTTTACAGCAGAGTTGCCAAGTGGTAGCCTAAGAAACGACCTTGAATTTCTTTTCCTTGGCCAAGGTCAGTAAAATTTGTTATTATTATTGATCGCAGACACTGTTCGTTTGTATCTTTTTCTCATAGCATACAGTCCACAGGTTTATCTTAGTCTGACTTTCAGAAATCTAAGGGAAAGACAGACATTGATCTCAAGAACCTGGTGTCGTAAGTATATGAATTGAAAAGTTCTGAAGACGTGCATTTGTGTTCAGAACCATATTGCATGTGAATACACCATTTACACTAGGACAGAAATGAAATCATTGCAAAGAAGTGAACTGATTATGACCATATTCAAAACTTATCGAAAATGTCAACATAACTGAAGGTTGACTTTAGTAACTCTTGCCGCGCATAAACGCTTGCACTACGTTCATAAATTTGTGCAGTTTTAGGGTATAAATATTTTCTGAAAAGTATGTTCAAAAACGGCATTTTGAATTTCACAATGAATGTAATCTTGTGTTTGACTTTTGTGTTTTTCTACCGGGAAAAGTGTTTACTGAGATAATTTGAAGCAATTGTAACTACTCTCTTCAAATAGCCCGTATTTAGTATTTCTAAATTTTGGAAGACAGAAACTGTTGTGCATCCCTGGCGCTAATATTTGCATCTTTCATAGAGCTTTTATGTTCAGACATTGACGCTTAAATTTTTTAGCGATAAGCATCACTTCGTAATGTTGAAAGTAGTACAGATTTCGCGTACATTCAAACTTCAAAGCTGAATAAACTGCCTAGAACTTTCAAAGTTTAAAATAGGGCAATAAAAATGCGTTGAATCATCGGTATTTCGCTACTATATAGGTATTGTTTCTCCTTACAATTTTATTGCACTTTCCAAACTGTCCGTCAGTCATCGGAAGTGCAGAGCGGGCAGTGATCCGTAAACAGCAAACTGGCGGAAAGCCCGTTGCCTCCTCAGTTAATGATATTGCGCCATTATATTCGTATTTATATGCCAAAAAAGTTGCTCACCCTACCTTTTTATAGAGATCGGTTACCTTCCTTGGCCGAAAGCCAGGGACCCGCAGGCTCTTCTGTTGTAGTGAGGTTGCTGAGGTAAAATTTTACCCTAATCATAATTTGCGTAGTAACCGTAACTTGTCACCTTGCTGTGATGGATTATATATTTCAGAAATTTGTTGTTTCTCAAAGCTTAAATGAAGTAAAATATTCGCGATCTATTGCTTTTCGAAATCATTCAGTTGTGGTATATTTTAAATTATGTTTCCAAAACATGATATGTATGCAGGCTTAGAATAATGTAAGAAATAAACTAAAATAAAAGCGTAATTTTTTTAGTAGTAAAGAAGATTTCAATGAATTCAAGCTGAGGGCAAATAAAAATTTAGAAACTGGCAACGATAGTTTCGTTAGCTCAGATGAGAGGAATCGATTTCGCGGTCCGAGCTCTTATTCCCGATCCAGGCAAATGGAGAATTTATCTGCAATAAAATGAAATGTGATGTGAATTTTTCCATAAAATGTATAAGAACTATCCATTTTTCACGAATATTAAAGACCTAAAAATTGAAATGATTGCCTATGTCAGCGTTTCTCAGTTTGTGGTCCTCGAAGTCTGCCTTTGTGGTCCTCCTAGATTTTCAGAAATGACAAGAAATAAAATCCATATCCAAATGCGTATACCACAGTAAAGTTGAAGATTTCAGAGTTTGGAATCAGGTTTTCTCCAAGACGGACATTTTATGAAATTTATTACCAGTTCTAGTCGATGCAACAAAAGAGGGATTTAAATCACTATGTTTATAATGCTTCTTGCCAACATACATTCAGACGCATAACAACTGCGTAAGGATCGTCAGGTTCATCCATCATATTAATGTGAGTACCATCAATTAATTAAATTTTGACTTAATAAGGTAAATGCTATCCAACCTCTAGTAGCTTTTAACTATTAAAAACAAATATAGTTGTTCTAGTAACTTAACTACTTAATACCAATACATAATTAACTGTATTTTAAAAATGCAAGTATACTGATAATAATATATGCTAAAAAAATTGTTTTCGAGGAGGACAAAAATAAGAAAATATAATTTTCAGATACGCTGGTCTAAGGGATTTAGTAGCCTGACGAGAATATGTTAAGGTATTCTGATACTTTTTGAGACAAAATCTTTTGTTATTTTTATAATAATTGAAACGAAAACTGAATTTGAAAGATTGCCATGATCGCAACGAATGTAAAGATTTGGTTTAGTTGGAATTATTTGATTGTGACAAAACATGCAATGGCTATCGACGAAAGGAAATGGATATCATGCAAGGAAAACTGTCACCTGTTAATGATACACATAAAGAAAAACCATACATAGAAAAATGGCATGAAGTTACTCTGTTCTCCAGGATTTAAACCTGAAGCGAATAACTAGTAGTTAGCTGTCTTATCTACTCGGCCCCTGATGGTCCCAAAAATAAGGAATGGAAGTTAAAGCATTTAAGCACTTATATAATGTATAGAGAGGTCAGTTAATGGCTGGAAGCCACTAATAGATGGTAGTTTTGTTCTGGGTTTATTTGTTCAGGATGCAGTCGCTAACTAAATAAGACTTTTCAAAGTTTCCTCAATTGTAATGTAAATTTAGTGTAGCTTCTCTTCTAAATTTTTACATTGAAGTAATCATTTTTCTCCCAAGAAAGGTAATCCGCGCATGATTAATAGTAATTAATCGATTAAATTTGCTCATTCTTTGCAAACAAGAAGTTCCTTTTGAATAGTTATAGAATTATTTGAAATGTATTTATCTATAGCTTTGTATAATGTATTATTTTATCAGAAACAAACGAAAGCTTAAGTATTTGGCAACATAATTTACATGCCCAAATACATAAGGATATCAGATTAGTAATGATGATCAACGTAATGCTTAAAATTTAACCTTTGTTTGCATTGATTTCATAATGAGATTCACAGTATTTCGGGTGATGTCAATTTTTCAGGAAAATTTTATAATGCTAGTTTGCTTTATATTTTGAAGTTGAAGCAGTTTCTTCTTTGGTCTTTTGAATATATTAACGAATTTCTGGTTCAGAGTGCCGGAGTGAACCTCGATTATTTTCTTTCTTTGGAACTGACATTATTTCGCATTCTATTGTAAAGGGGATGTAAGAATAGGTTCTTATGAATTATCTTTTATAATATGAAGCAAATTGTTGTCAAATTTATATTATACTTATAGTATTTTTATAGACTAATTTTTTCAATTGAAATGTGGCTTCTGTCTAGAGTTTTTATAAGCGTGTTGAAATTTTTATCGTATTTAGTTTCAGCTAAAATGTAATAGAAGCAAAATGTACTGATTTTTAACAATGATGTAAATTAGATTTCCATATGTATATACACTGGAAGGAGGACAAATGTTAAATTTTCTGAATTTGTATCCCCTAGAAATCTTTCCATTGTCTCTTATTTTTCATATAAAAATAACAAGAAAAAGCCTTTATTTTATAGTAAAAGTATTTAATTAAAGCAAAATTTGAAAGTTGCGTTTAATGAAAAACAAATTTAACGATATTATTTTTTTTTAAAGCTTAAAAATGTTCGTGATTAAAACTGATATGTTCAGTTTCATTGTCTCGATAAAATTTGACGATAAAAATATCTTTGTTCAATTCTTTATATATTTTTAGAATCTTTTCATGCGAATGAGGGAATAAAAGGGAAGACTAATAAATCCCAAATATAATAACGCTAAATTTGTAGATTTGTCGAAGCAGGAAAAAGTGAAAATATGCACAACCCTCGCCAGAATTCGAGCTTCGAACTCCCGAGGCTAGCCGGGCATATTTCCAACTATACCACATTGTAAAGAGCGAAAACGTATCTTACGTTCTCCCCATTTTAAGAGTGGCTTCGGAAGTGGCAACCTAATCGCTAAATCCTGGTAGTGACGAATAATCTTCCACTATATTTTAGTTTGGGCAGTATTGTATAGTCATTAGGTCTCTTTTGGAGCGAAAAAAAAGAAAATCAGCAATGCTGTTGCCAGAATTCGAATTCTGGACTTCCCGATTGCTAGCCGGACGTGTTTCCATTTACATCAGGAAGGGACGCAGTAATGAAGGAGAAAAATCCCTTGTATTTTCCCCTTTTAAAGGACGACTGGGCAGGAAGAAACCCAGTCGCCCTGTAGAGCGATTAAGTACTTGTCAGAGTTGGAAACAATAAAAAGGAGAAATGCTTTTGGCAGGATTTGAAATCTGAGCCTCCCGATGCTAGCCTGGAGAAAATGCGTTACAAGCTGTCTAGCAATTGAGACTGTGATACTTAAGCCGTTCAGAAATTGATACTGGAGATTCAAGCTCACTGCAATTGGAGCAGTCGCATTCCTTCGAAGTTTTCTCCCAAGAACTTGTCTATCGAAAGTTTATAAACCGTTTCAAGTTAAAACACTTAATTATTTAGGGTTCGAATGGCGAAAAAACTCAAAGATTCGTATTAAGGATTCAAATATCCCTTCGCTAGTTTTTCCTTCTATCTTAAAATTCAAGGAATAAATGAGAAATTATCTGAATCTCTCTTGTTAGACTGCTTGCGTAAGATCTGTATGATTTTCAGAAAGACATTAAGAGGAAAAGCGTCTTTTATATTGGATGTATGAATATTAACTTTTAAAAATATCAGTTATTATAAGGTGTTATTAATTCATGGGTAATGAATCTGAATATTTATTCCTATTCTGCAAGAATGAGGAACTTTGACTTCTGTATCCAATAAGAAGGACCATGCAAATTGATAAAACTAAAAAATATTAAATGCTGATGGAGCTCTATCAAATTCTCTAGCGATCGAGAGTATACTCTAATGTTTAATTGTAAAGTTTATTATAATAGGACAAACTATCAAATAAACTATGGAAACATTTTCTATGATGAAGGTTAAATGGCGTAAGCTTTGTTATCAGATGATGTATTTTCGATGCAATCACAAACGGAACATTATGCTTCTTCTATTTACTTTGCTGAATTTTTAAATGACGGTAACCTTCTCTCCAAAAAAGATGGGAAACTGTATTTGGAATTTGCTTGAATCAAAATTTAATTTTTGCGTAGAATAAAAAAGTCTGACATGAGTTGATATTTGTGAATCTTTATGCCTTTTTGATAAGTCACCTCATACCATCGTATCTGGACTGCTAGACTGAATGGCAGAATCATCTCAAGCACTTACAGATATATATTATAAGCAGTAATCAATTCTAACTTTACTGTGGGGAAAAAGTGCGTTTTCTTCGAAATCCCTAGTCGTTAAAGAAAGTAAAAATCACAGAACTGTGTCTGGATGAATCGTGAATGAAATTAGTGGGAAAGGCCGAAAAAAAATCTCTCACGCATTGGAGTTAAAGAGATTTTAAATGTTTTTCTCCTCACGCTGACTGGTGTTCAGGTGAGACGGGATGATTCGGGTTACCTAAGTTATAAATTACAAGGTCAAGGACGCCAGTTTCTTTGCAGGTGTGATTACAGAAAATGCTGCTGCGTTGCTTTTCCGCATACATTTTTCTTCTTAAATACTCATGCAAGGGTGGGAATATTTCCATCCATAAATCACTTTTTAATGGAACTTTGTAATTGATTGATCAAACAGATATAGGTCAGTGTGATCATTTAATGGCTGCTAAAAGTAGACCTCTATTATCAGTTTAAAATAAAATGGTTGAATGTATTTTTAGAGACAAGCTGTACAATCTCCTTTACAGTAATTTTCAGAAGAATAAAAAAGAATCATATTTTGCTTCTGAAGAAAATGAGATAGTATCGTTTCTGTGTCGAAATAGCCTTTGAAATTAATAACAAAAGGCGTAATATTACTGTTATTAAAGTAACTGGTATTTCTCTCTTCAGTTCGTTCTTAATCGCAAAATGATAATATATTTATTATAGAAATATTAAAATGCATTTATAAATTAAACACTTCATAATTTTCTACTTATTCAGTAGAATATTGTTAAATAACTCTACTTTAATTCAGTATTTTGTTTACCTAATTGTTATTATTTTTTATGTAATGTTTCGCTCGCTGTGTTGACAATAAAGTCCTTGTGAAATATTCCGTAGTAAGAAGAAAAATAGGAGCCAAGCTAAATTTGATTTGGATTTTTTTTCTTTATCTTACTGGGTTTAATAATCTTACGTAACAATATTTTATTTAATTGATAACATTAAATTTTCCAAGCTCATAATCAAAGAATTCTGTCCGAGCTCGAGCAATTTTTTTTTTTTTTTTTCCAAGTAATTTGGTACTTCTTTCATTCATAGTCTACTGCTTGTTTCAGTCATTGCTTTTTCTTACTCTTTCAGCGGCATGTTAACCAAAAACTTTACCGTGCTCGTATCCCTAGAATTGTAATGTTCCATTTTCTAATCGCTTAACTTCCATTAACTTCCATTTAAGTTAAAGAAAAAATTCTTTTCAACAAAAGAAACTGACATATATAAACAATAATGTAGGTGAAAAAGTACAGAGATTTTATTTTCTCATTATATGGATTCGAAGTATATTCTTGTAAAGTGTGAAACCATTTCAAACGTTTATATGTTTTTGCATTTATGTATGTATGCTATTTGGCTTGACTCTTGGAGTTTCTTTGTATCCATTCATCGCTAATCGTAACGCGGCGCGGTGTAAAATGAAACCTATTAATTTCAACTTTTCTGTTTTATTTCACAATGCATATTTAAGGTTTAAAAATTAATGCAGTTGTACCTTGACAATCTTGAACTTTAGTGAATAGCGATTTGCTGTTTCTTTAAAACACTTTTTATATTGCAGTTTATTTGAATCCCCCCCCCAAGTTTGAAAGAAGAATTAAATACAGCGA